TTCCGGGGCGCTGGTGCCAGCTCTCCGGCCCGGTCCGTGGCCCCCCCCCCCCCCCCCCCCCCGCCCCCCCGCCCCCCGGCGGGCCCCCCCCCCCCCCCCCCCCCGCTTGTCTTCACGCGTGCACGCGCGCGCCCGCACCCCGGATATCTCCCCCACCCACGCCCGCATCCAGGGGCACCCTGTTCGTGCGCCGCCGGCCCCCCCGCCCCGTATTTGCAGGGAAAGCCAGCCGATGCGGCGGCCCCGAGCAGGCAGGGAGGGGCTCCCGGGGCCGGCCGACGCCGCCGGCCATATCTCGGGCCTGCCTGCCCCTTTCCCGGGGTCGCTGGCTGGCCGGCGTGCCGCGGGCCCCTCGCTCGCTCGCCGGCATCCGCCTGCCCAGCCCCCCCCCCCCCCCGGCCCGGCTTCGGCCCCGCCACCGGGAAGCCAGCCGCCGCATCACGGGCCCGACGGAGCGGATCATCCCCGCCCCCCTCGGCCAGGGGCGGGGGAGTTTTGCACAACCATTTCTGACAGATGCCGACGGATAGCTCGGCGCGCGCGATCGTTGGCACTGATGCGCCTCTCGCCGCCGGGAGGCAGGGGACTGGGCGGCGGAGACCCATCCTCCTCGGCCACCTCTGCCCCCCCCCCCCCCCCCCCCATGCCGGCCGGCGGGTCGTCTCTGATCAGCTGGCGCCGCGGGTGCGGCCGGCTGGGTGCGGCTAGATCCACCCCTGTTCATTACATCCTTCCCCTCTCGCCTCTCTCCCCCCTCCCTTTGCTCTCTCCTCTCCTTGCATCGGAGCCAAACAGCCGCCCGCGCACCATGATCGAGATCATCCTCAACGACCGTCTTGGGAAGAAGATTCGCGTCAAGGCCGAGTGCGTCCCTCAACCCCCCCTCCCGCCCACCCCGTCACATGGTGGTATTCTGGCCTCGCTCCCCCCCTCCCCCTGCCCCGCAGACATATGGGTCTTCACATCCAACGATACTGACTCGGCCCCTTTGCCCCCCCCCCCCCCCTCAACAGCAAGAACGACACCGTCGGCATGCTCAAGCAGCTGATTGCCCTGCAGACTGGCACCCGGCCCGAGCGCATTGTCCTCAAGAAGTGGCACAATGTCCTGCGCAACCACATCACCCTAGACGACTGTACGAGAGCGCCCCCTCGCTCCC